GGGTTTGCTGCTGCCATCAGCCCAGTTTTGCGGGTGAGAAAACCGGGCACAGAAAGATGAAGCCACTCGCCCAAAGTCACACAGCCAGCTGGAGACTTACAGGAAGTTTGACTGCAGAGTCCACGATAGCTCCAGGAATAAAATAGATGGTTTTGAGAGATGTGTATGTTCACCACGCAGGACTGAGTGAAAAAGCCCTTTACTGATACAGAAATTGTTGATACTGGGGACTCCAGGTAGCTGATTTTCATGTCCACGCTGACACATAAAGCATTCATTTCAAAATCCTGTGAAGGGAGCTACGTAATTTCGTGGAGACGGCACTAGATCCAGACAGACCCGGGTCTGAATCCCGGTCCAACCACTTACAATCACTCCCAGGTGGTGCCTTAATCATGCCTCGTCTCAACCCCCCCCTCAACACCACTGGCCTCCCGGGACCTTGCTGAGAACGCATACGGACGCTTGGCCCAGGGCCTGGAACGTAGGGGGTGCTCAGAATATGTTAGTTTCCTTCTCCTTTAGGATGAAAAATGCATCACCCTTAAAGGAGACATCAAAGGCTGCCGAGAATAAAGTCCGAAGTTACAGCACCTTCCACAACCCAGCGAGATAACCTCATAAGAAAAAATGGTCAAAGGGTATGGACAGGCTATTCACAGAAGCTAAAATATAAACTGGCAAGAAAAGGTTTTCAATATTTTTGGTAATTTGGGAAATGTAATTTAAAAAGTAATGTCTTCTTTATCCATTAGATTGGCAAAAATTTACAAGATTTATACTCTTCAGTTCAGTGTTGGCCAAATTAAAGGGGAAAAGGCAATTCCACACACTGACGAATGCATAGAGCGGTAAAGCTTCTTGGAAGGGGCGAGGGGGCAGTGTGGCAAAGCTATCCGTTTAATATATTACTCTTTAACCCAGAAATTCTCCTTCGAGGGATCTAGGAGACTGAAACATCTGTGTTGACAATGATGTGGTTCACAGATTCCCCACTATTTTTAGAGCAGAATATTGGAAACAACCTAAAAGTCCATCAGTAAAGGACAGTTAAGGAAATAACGGTACACCCACACTCTGGAATACAGACCAAACTTTCCATGTCAGTGCATATAGATCCCCAGGACATAGCATTAAATGTAAAAGGTAAAGCAGAGGAAATTCTTCGATGTGTCTCCAGTTATGTTTACGAGAACACTTGTCCACTGAAAAGGCCTAGGAGCAGCAAGGAGCACACCTAGCACCCAGATCTGGGTTTTCAGTATCATTCTCCACTAAAAGGAACTTGGACTCTTCGGAGAGATGGCTGATTCCAGGGCTGGAAAGTACAAGCTGAGTCTTGGAGGTTTTGTGCCAGAAAGTACAGAAGTCCTCAAAGATAATGAGAACATATCAAAAGGACAGGAGGGCCAGCTGGAAGGGGCTCCTGCAGGCCAAGTCTGGGACAATTTAAGCAGAAAAGTGGGTAATGAGCATAACAAACTATAATCTACTGCATAAAGCAGGAATTCATCCATGAGTGCGGAGACATAAACCAAAGAGTAAATGAGGGAGAAAGTAAGGTTCTTCCTTTTAGTACAATTCCAACTGATGAGCGTAGAAAGAAACATGGAATTAGAAAATCACCATCTGTCAACTATCATAACTGATCTGGGTAAGCATCACCAATGGATTCTTAAACTAGTGGGTGAAAGTATGAGGAGTAACAGTATATTTACAGTCTCAAGTGAGCTTACTATGAGATACATATTAACAACAAAGGGAAAAACGGGAACTTTCTGTGAGGGAATCTGACAGACAGGATCTTAATGAAGTGATGACAGGACCAGTGAATGGGACAGATCAACAGCATACGCCTCCCACCGTGAGACACGCTGAGACGGCCGCAGCACCGCCCCGTGCCACACCTGCCAAAAGCATAATGTGAATCTAAGCAGGAGGAAACCACGGGCAAACCCAAGGGGAGGGACATTATCCAAAACACAGGCAGTTGTCTTCAAAGATGTCAATGTCAAAGTCATGAAATACAAAGACAGATTCAGGAACTGTTCCAGATTAAAGGAGACTAAAGAGACAGGATGGTTTAAGGCACCACAGAATCTTGGATTTCCTTTTGCTCTAAAGTGGCCTACTGGCAAGATCTGAAAAAGACCTGTAGATTCAATAATAGCGTTGCATCAACATTTAATTTCCTGATTTCTAATAATCATGCTGTTGTTTTGTAAGAGAATGTCCTTGTTTTTATGAAATACACAATAAAGTATTTAGCAGTAAAGGCGTATCAAGTCTGCAACTTAACATTAAACATTTCAGAGAAAAGTAATCACACACACACACACGAATAGGAGAGAGGATAAACCAAATGTCAATATTTGGAGAATCTGGGTAAAGGATATCTTGGAACACTTTGGATTATTCTTTCAACTTTTCAGTGAATCTGAAATAATATATTTTCTTAAAAAATTTTTAAGAGAGCAAGGTATGCATATGCATAGAAAAATACAGGTAAATTCCTGGGGATTAAGTTCACAATGGTATTTTCCTTAAAAGCCCAGAGAGACAAAATGAAGCAGGCCTACCCTGGTGTTACCACTGGTCTCCCTAGAATATGCTGTCCTCACAGAGCTTCTGTTCCAGGACACTGGAAAAAGCTGTTTTGAAGGATCTCTCAAGGCTAGCTCGTTAACCAAGTTCCACAGAAGCAGCAACAACATAATCAAGGCTTCTTCACTGCAAATTTGTGCTGTTCTTCCCTCAGTGAAAAGCCACAGCATCCTGACGCTGTGCATGGCTGATGATGCCACAGGACCCTTCCTGGAATTCATAATCTCTAAAGAAGTTTTTCATAAGAAACCAGGATAAAAGAGTCTTGGTCCAAAGTCTTCCCCTCTACTGTGTCTTACTGGATTCTTGAAATGTTAAGCCATGGGATGGGGGTTGGGATCAGTTTGTCCCACACCCTTTTGCTTCCATTCCTTTGGTGCCCTTGCAGATTTGCTGGCTGAGGAGAATGCTCCCAGGCAGGCAGCTGGCTAACGGGACTTGAACGGTCAATAGTTCTATCATACACAACCTGTCTCTCTAGAGCTTTACAGCTTACAACCTCTTATGTATATTATTTGATTTCATCCTTCCCTTAAACTGATTTTTTTTTTTTACTTACTAATGGCATTAAGTCTAACAGCAATACAACAAAATATACAGTTTCCAAAAACAATGAGTTATAATGTCTACCCTTGACTTTGCGTCTAGCGGGGAGGCAGGACTTGCACCTGAGCAGATAAACACTCTGAGACAGCATAAGCCTAATGAAAAATAGCTGGATAAGTAAACTGGCTAGTGGAATTAGTACAACTAATTCTACCACTGAGCTCAGTAGAAATACAGCCCCCCTTTCTCTTTGTATTTTTCCAGCATTTATTCCTTTAAGCCCCGTCTTCAGGGCAAACCCTCCTTGTAAATGTAACTCTGGCTTGTTGTTACAGAGGCTTGTTTGCAAGACACCACAGGGAACCAGGCCTTGTGGGGCTCCAGTTCGCACGCAACGCGCCCCCCGCCCCCCACCCCCGGACAGCATCGCGGTCTCCTGACACCAGCCCTCCAACACAACAACCACACTGACCTTCCCACACAGGCACCATCATCTCAACTTTCTTCAAAGAAACCAGTGAACTGACTCTTCCAGAAGTAAACATTTCAGCAAAGGACCCCCCCCCAAACAAAGGCCCTAGCCTAAATCCAAAGACAAAATTCCTGTTAAAGAAAACCTGTTTTCAATCAAAGAAAAATTAGGCTTAATTCTAGGACAATCTATAGTTAGTCTATGCGCACTTACCAATGCCAACAGCATCTAGATTCCAAAACAAACTCAGCAAAGTAGGTTCTGTTCTCACCTTCCAGAGATGAGAAAATTGAGAACCAGAGTTAGCAACTGGCAGATTCAAGATTCACATCCAAGTCAGCCTGTTCGCTCTCCAACCCCACTGCCCACAGTCCGCCCCATCCACTGTGAACACAGATGAATCAGGCAGAATCTCACTGCAACATTCAAACTGCCACCCCACCTCCTACTCCCTCGGTTTAGGTGCCCCTTTAAGGGGCAGGTGGCAAATCAAATTCGACTCTTCAGCAGCCTCTCAACACAAAACCCATTAAGTGGCAAAGCAAAAACACAAGAAGATGGGCTTTACAACCGCCTATACTTTTTTCTTATCCAAAGGAATATTTTTTTATGATCTGTCATTAGGGATGAAGTCGGGGCAGGAGGAATACATGATTATGTAATGTCACAGGGCAGGCAACAAGGGGAGGGAGAGCCGAGCCCATCACCGCTCCCTTCGCCCACAAACACGTAAATTAACCGTTGACGTTTTGAGTGTTTCAATCTCCTGTGGCCTACACATTCATGACTGGCTTTTCAGGAGACAGTCACAAACCCCTGCAGATTTCCCAGGCCTCAATTCACTGACTAGCAAAGCCATAAAGAAAGAAAATATCAAAAGCAAAGATGCCAGAACTGTTGTCGGGGACGGTGGGCCGGCAGAAAAGGGAAGAGTTTGGGAGGATGGGGGCCTACACCGAGGTGTATGTTTATTTTTACCCGGTTCTGTTTACACCCGAAACACCCCGAGGCCTCAGCGTCTGGAGTCACTAGATCCAGCCCTGGAGACGCACCAAGCAGGCGCCGCGACCTGGCCTCGGGGGCGCCACGTCCCGCATCCCGGCTCCCCGCCGCCCGCTACCCTCAGCCCTAGGCGGCCCGGGGCGTCATCCTGCTAGGGGTCGCCGGGGTCTGATCATTCTCCAAAGACGCCACCACCAGGGAACCGCTAGCTGTACGATTTCCATGACAACCGCCGGCGCCTTCCGCGTCCGGCGCGCCGGGTATCAGGATGCGCGCCGCGCCCCGCCGCTCCCCGCTCCGCCCGAGGAGCATCCCGGTCCCCGGCGGCTCGCGGCCGCCGCGTCGCCCCCGGCCCGGCCCGGCCAGGCCCACCTACCTGGCGCGTCCCGGCCCGCGGCGCCCGCGCCCTGCCGTCCCGCCGTCCTCGGTCCCGCCGGGCCGCGCGCCCGAGCCGCGCAGCAGCAACGCCGCCGCTGGGTCGCAAAGTCGTGGGCTGCAGCCGGGCTCCAGGTGCTCGTCCTCTTGTCCGGGTCCGCGGCGCCCACCCCAGCCGCGAACCTGCCGCCAGCGCTGCAGCGCCAAACCCGCCGCCCAGGCTGCTGCTGCTGCCGCTGCTGCTGCTGCCGCCGCCGCTCAGGAGGCCACGCCGGCCCCGCCCCGGCCCCGCCCCCTCGCCGCGCATGCGCGCTCCACGAGCCCCGGTCTGGGCCGACCCCACCCGGCCGGTCCTCCTCCGCGGCTGCTCACGCAGACTTCTCTCGGCTTCCTGCAAGACCCGCTCTCAGCTGTCATCGAATCGCCTGCAAGGAGTTCTTGAACTTCTGCACTTTAATTGGACGATGGCATTTTCGCCCTCACAAATACTGAGGCTTGGAGGCCCCGACGCATCCCTGAGGAAGAAGACTCCTGAAGAGTCGCGACCCGGGAACCGCTCCGGCCGTTTGCCCTCCGGTGAGCGCGCTCCCCGGGTGCGGACTACGCAGTCCCCTGGCGAAGTTTAGGAAACTGAACATTCAGCCCAGAAACAAGCAAAAATTAAAATCATACTTTGAAGAAACAGATAAGCAAGAAGACAGAGACTGCTAACATCCTTCCAGATTGTCCTGGCATACTGTATATACATTTACAGACTCTCACCAAATATCAGCTCCTTACACCTCTCTCCCAAAGTTCTATTCTTCCATGGCGGGGGCGCGGGGGGATGTGAAATAGAAGAGTCAGAAGTTTTGGAAGAAAAATTTCACTTTAATATAACTTTAAACCTTAATATTTCTGCTTGAGCAAGGGTAATACTGGACTGAATATAAACATTCATCTTCATCTTTAAATTTTGTCAGAAAAAAAATTCTTTAAAATTCTTGAATGAAAACTAATTTAATTCAATAAACCAGAACACTTCTCAGTTGGCGCTCACATCCCTCAGGTATAAAAACAAACATTTATAAATTACTTTAAAAAGAAAAGATTAACCTGTAAGAAATGAAAATTAAACAAAAATTCTCTAATATTTAGAATTAGAGCTGAGCTTCCCCATGTCACCAAAAACCAAACGCAGACAACAGTCTGGATAAAAATAAGTAAATATGAAACTTTTTAAAGTTTAATTTATTTTCTGACTTTTTTATTTCTCTTCTGAAAAGTAATTTACTAACAAAAAGCTTTCTATTATTTCTTCAGATAAATGGATAGAAATATTGACAGAACTTTAACCCTAGTGTAAAACTAAATCCAAAATATCAAACTTGTGGAAATGCAAAAATAATTTTATACCTTATTTTCTAAAACTAGGGTGACCAATATACCTGGTTTAGCTGGGACAACCCCAGTTTACATCTTTTACCCAGCAAAATTATTAATAGGTCCCCTTTCATTCTCAAAAGTGTTCTCAAAAGTGTTCAGACAATACATTTTATGGCCATGATAACTTTAATCAAGCCAAGAGAGTTTTTCAATCACTGGCTTTAAAAAAAAGTAACAAATTTAAATTCACAAACATTTAAAAATAGACATCAAAGTTCAACAATTCATTCATTTAGCATAGTAACAAACTGAATGAGAATCAGGCCTCCAATAACATTTGTCACTTGACTGTTGCGTAATTCAGGTTAATCTTATAAAGATCAATTACAATTTCAGTGCAGCAAGGAACGGGGCCCCAATTTCACTGCAGAATGAACATTATCAAGAGAAAAAGGAGCCAGGTTTGTTGGTAAATATGGTACTGTGCATTCCCTAAGCATCACAACATGATAGAAGAAAGTATCCTAGAAGTGTGCTTGTGGGAAAATATCCCCATCCTTCAGAAACTCTCAGCATGTGATACCCAAACAACAGCATTGATATCCTCTCAGAACTTGCTAGAAATGCAAGTTCCCAGGCTCCATGCCAGACCTGCTGAATCAGAAACTCTGAAAGTGGGGCCAAGCAATCTGTGTTTTAACAAGCCCTCCAGGGATTCTGATAAACGTGTGGACCTAGATTGTCTATATACAATAAGTAAGCTGACTTAGATCATCTATATATGATAATTAAGAGCTAAGCAGTGCTGTTTTGGGGACTCGAAACAACCTACATGAGAATTTCTTTGGGGGCCATTAAACATAATATATTTACATGTGTTTTCACTGGAGAATATATGTAGCCTGGAAAACTAACAGCCCTGCTGCCATAGTAGCTGTGAAAACCAGTGGCCTCGCAAAAAAGGAGGCACAAAAAAGCTTTTGGAGTGCCTCATAACGCCCTATCCCCAAGGAGTTTTCACTATGTGACTGGCCTGGCAGCTTAATGGAGAAGCTCCATTCTCAGGGCTTGTCTTTAATTGACCTGACTCAGTGCTTATTTGGTGCAGTTGGCCCTATCCACAGAGCATTTGGTGAAAGCAATCGGCAACAATTATTTAACAGGGCAACTGCCTAAGGTGGTGATACCAGGTGGAGCTAGCAAGAGACTCACCAATTAAAAGGAAAGAATGGGGGAACTTTGGAAAGACCTGACATATTTCTTGGAATCCAAAAGGACACACATGTGTACAACTATGCACATGTCCAGGAAAGACTTAAGAAGGCCATAATTTCTCACTTCTGGCTGACCTTGAGGCTTTGAGCAAGCAAGAAATGAAGGCTCAGGCAGAGTTGTAAATTGCCTGCCCGAACACTGAAGACATGCCTCAACATACACACACAGCCCCTTCATAAAGACATATTGAGGGCTTCCCTGGTGGCGCAGTGGTTAAGAATCTGCCTGCTAATGAGGGGACATGGGTTCGAGCCCTGGTCCGGGAAGATCCCACATGCCACAGAGCAACTAAGCCCGTGTGCCACAACTACTGAGCCCGTGTGCCTAGAGCCGGTGCTCCACAACAAGAGAAGCCACCGCAATGAGAAGTCCATGCACCACAACGAAGAGTAGCCCCCGCTCACCACAACTAGAGAAAGCCCATGCGCAGCAACAAAGACCCAATGCAGCCAAAAATAAACAAATAAATATTTTTTTTAAAAAAAAGAAGACATTCGTCCCAGCATTTGAGACTATCTTTGTATAATAGTTAGCCAATATACACAAAGAATATCAATAAAAAGACAGGAATTAAGCTAACCAAGCAAGGACTTCAGTGGCTACAAATGACATAGAATAAAGGCTTTATAGAATTATCCCAAGAGAGACACTAAACAAACAAAAGGCCCTCTTCTCTTTCCCTGGGGTAGAGGGAAACTTGATTTCCAGAATTGCCACATTATGTAATTTAAAATGTCCAGTTTCAAACAAAAAGTTTAAGCATAAAGAAACAGGAAAGGACAGAGGCTAAAAGGTAGTCAATAGAATGTCTGTGAGAAAACACAAGTGTTATACTTACTAGACAAAGACTTTAAATCAGTTATCATAAACATGTTCAAAGAACCAAAGGAAACCACGTATCAAAAGCTAAAGGAGGGCTTCCCTGGTGGCGCAGTGGTTGAGAATCTGCCTGCCAATGCAGGGAACACGGGTTCGAGCCCTGGTCTGGGAAGATCCCACATGCCACAGAGCAACTGGGCCCATAAGCCACAATTACTGAGCCTGCACGTCTGGAGCCTGTGCTCCGCAGAGAACAAGAGAGGCAGCGACAGTGAGAGGCCCGCACACCACGATGAAGAGCGGCCCCCACTTGCCACAACTAGAGAAAGCCCTCACACAGAAACGAAGACCCAAAACAGGCATAAATAAATAAATTAATGTTTAAAAAAAAGCTAAAGGAAAGTATGAGAGTAACAAAAAGAGAATATCAAAAAGAGATGGGAGTTATAAAAAAAGAACCAAACATAAATCCTATATTTAAAAGGTATAATAACTGAAATGAAAAATCTGTTAGAGGGGTATAACAGCAGGATTGGGCTGGCAGAAGAAAGAATTACATTTGAAAATAGGTCAATTGATATAGCCTAGTCTGAGGAACATAAAGCAAAAAGAATAAAGAAACATGAACAGAGGCTCAGAGATCTGTGCACCATCGACTATATCAACATACACATGATGGAAGTCCCAGACGGAGAGGAGAGAGAAAGGTACAGAAAGAATATTTTTTTTTTACATCTTTATTGGAGTATAATTGCTTTACAATGGTGTCAGAAAGAATATTTGAAGAAATAATGGCTAAAAATTTCCCAGTATGATGAAAAACACTAATTTACACATCCAAGAAGTTCAATAAACTCCAACTAGCATAAACTCAAGTAGATTCACCCTAGACACAGCATCATCAGACTATCAAAGGCCAAAGATGAAAAAAAAAGCCAAAGATGGAAGGAATCTTGAAAGCACCAAGAGAGAAGCAACTCATAAGGTACAAGTGATCCTCAACAAAATTAACAGCTGTTTTCTCATCAGAAATCATGGAAAGGGACTTCCCTGGTGGCACTGTGATTAAGAATCTGCCTGCCAATGCAGGGGACACAGGTTCGAGCCCTGGTCCAGGAAGATCCCACATGCTGCAGAGCAACTAAGCCCATGTACCACAACTACTGAGCCCAAGCTCTGAAGCCTGCAAGCCACAACTACTGAAGCCTGTGTGCCTACAGCCCGTGCTCCGCAACAAGAGAAGCCACTGCAACGAGAAGCCTGCGCACCGCAATGAAGAGCAGCCCCTGCTCGCCGCAACTAGAGAAAGCCTGCACACAGCAATGAAGACCCAATGCAGCCAAAAATAAACAAATAGATAAATTTATTTTTAAAAAAAGGAAATCATGGAGGTCAGAAGAAAGTAAAATAACATAATCACAGTGCTGAAAGGAAAAGGCTGTAAACCTAGAGTTCTATATTCAGCAAAACTCTCTTTCAAAAATGAAGGAGAATAAGATATTCTCAAGTAAACAAAAACTGAGAGAATTCACTGCTAGCAGACCCATCCTATAAGAAATAATAAAGGCAATCCTTCAGGCTGAAATGAA